CAACAACTCCCTCCCTCAACAGAGTGCGAGCTGAATTTGGAGGACGCTTCTCTGGGCCATGCCAGGCACCAAGCACCTTACATACACGGTCGCACTGAAGGTTCACAAGCCCCATGAGGAAGTTATTATTAGCCCCCGATTTTTAGATGATCTTTAGGTGAGCCATCAAGGGTTCAGAGAGGTTGAAGATCATGTCTTGGATCTTGCTCTTCCCCAGTGTGTCCCACAAATGGCAGAGAATGACAGTTATGGAGGCAGGAATATGGCTCCCGTGACATCACGTCTGGAGTCCTGGACACCACTCCTGGCCCTGCCTCTTGGGCCTTGTGTGCTTTGGGTTGTAGTTTCCGTAACTGACCAACGAAGAGACCATCTCAGCTAACATTTCCGGTTCCCCTCTGCTCTAAAGTTTTTCTGGATTTCCAGGATTCAGAAATTCCCTTTGGACTTCTGTAGCCTGGTCTCATCCTGCAGCATGGATGTGAAGATGGGGTACACAGGGCAGCCTTTCAGAATAGAGGCAGCCCCTGCGGCAGTGTTAGGGGCTGGGCCTTACCTTGGGCCGTCGGGGCGGACGCACCCAGCTGGACAGACTCCTCAGAAGTCTTCATGAGGCCATACTCTGCCTCGAGGCTCCACTAAGGTAGCTGTGGGCGCCATGAAGACCAGCTCACAATGTTTTCAAGCAACTGTAATTCATTACCAACCTTTTTAAATCAAGAGATTTTACATTAAAATCTGGATTTCTGGGTTTTCCAGAAAGGTTTAAAAAGGGTGGCCTCTTGGGACCCATGTTCCCACTGGCCACACCGACCCACACAGCTGGCTACTGGCCCTTCTGAGGGCACAACAGGGCTCTCCTTGGCCATGGACCCAGCGCTCCCCTGACCCTTCACACATGCCCATCCCCAGGCTGGCATTTCAGGCTTTTCAGGATGGGAACCTCACAAACGGAGCCAAGAGAGCTCTTGTTTTTAAGAAAGGACCCGGAGAGAGGGGACAGGTTTCATGCAGCCTTTGGGCATAAAAACAAAAGTTCTTTTCCTCCAAACACAACCAGAGCACTGGGCTCCGTTCACTACTGAAGCAGAACCTGGTGGCCCGGGTACAGGTAGGAAACCCGTGCCCAGGGAACAGGCACCAGAAAGTGTGACGGAGGGAGGGGTTTTCAGCCATGAAACTCCTTCTCTTTCTCCCAACAGCCACCACCCAGATCTCTATCTGCTTTCCGGGGCCCGGGGTGGACTAGCAGACATGTGTCATTTCCCTGGGTAGGGGCCATAATGGCAACATTGTGCCGAGTGGAACAAGAGAAGTTTTCATCCTGCCACCAGCCCTGGGCAGACACTCGAGCAGGGGGCTCTGTGGCTCACTCTGCACAAAGGAGTGGGGAGAGGGGCCCCAGGCCCAGGAGAAGCCCAGTGGGCTGGGCTGCCTGCCTCCAGCAGCATGCAGTAAGGCAGGGGCACAGAGACCAATGGCTTGCAGAACACCTCACTGTGATCTCATCTCCCCCTGCAAATAAGTGAGCAAACAAACACTCCCAGAGGATCAAAAGCACCCTCCAGGATGTGTGCATTCAAGGAAGCCCAGTAGCCCTTGAGCAATTATTCACGGACTTACTCGCCAGTACTTACTATCACTCACTAGGTGCCGAGAACTGCACTAGGCTGTAGGGGTTTAGTGGGAAATAAAACACAGCACCCATCCTCACGCTGCTTGCAATCTGGGGGACCAGGAAGAGGCAAGGAGAGAAGCAAGAAGGAAATGAAGCATTGGTGACCCAACCGAAGAATTGAGATTCACAGAGCAACAGAGTCAGTTTAAGAACCCAGGTCTGAACACCTGACCTGTGGTTCTTCTGACTCTTCCCAGGGTCTCCCGAGCTACTTGTCTGTAATGAAAAAGGGGGTCAGTGAAGAAGGCACCCCAAACGCCATAATAAGGAACTTGGGCTCTACACTGAGGGCAGAGGAGGCCAACACATCTTTTTACAGGGGATCTGATTGGAGTCGTGGAACGTTCACTTTGGTATCCGTGGTGCAAACAGACCTAGAGGCAAGGGGACAGGGTAGAAGGTGAGAGTATGTTTCTTTTGCTGGGACGCAGGATCTTTAGCCTCCAAATTTTTCATTCCCAGGTCTTCCCAGCTCCACCTGATAAGCTGAAAATGAGACTGGGGAGTATCATTTGTTTTCACAAGACTGGGAGCATGGGGGAGTTAAAAGCTTTCTTCCTGCTATTGTTCCCAGGATCAAATTTGGTATCTTTTTACAGAGCCCGGAGCTCTCCACACAGAACTCTTTAGACAGCACCAGACAAATCTAGTACAGAGAAAAAAAAAAATCCTCTCTGAGGGTCACAGTCATGCAGAGACATGGGAAGGTAAGGAGGAAACAGAGCATCTACAACCTCCATCCCAGTCCTTCACCAACGCTTACCACCTGACACCCCCAATCGCACCAAACCAAACAGCTTTGCAGGCACGTCCTGCCGTCTTCCATCTCTGTGGCTCTGCTCCCACTGTTTGCTCTACCAGTCATGTAATCCCCCACTGTGGGCTCACCCAAATGTCAGTCATCCAGTGCTGCCTCCGTAATTAGCAAGAAGTCCTCACCTTGTCTTGATGAACTCGAAGAGCATTTTATCTCTCCTCTGGTCCTTTTCACATAATAATCTGTTGCTCATTCATTTTGTACATATTTATCTCCTCTAGGGGACTGCAGATTCCTTGAGGATAAAGCCCCTTCCTACTTCGTGTTAGTTCTCCCTATAAGAACTTGCCCAGAAAGCAACACATATTCCTAAGTGAACTGATGAAACGTGCTGTTGTTTTTATGGTGATGATAGACCCCATTAAATGAAAGGGACAGAGAAAAAAAATATACATAGAGAGAGAGAGAGTGATTCCTTGCCGGGGGAACCCACAAACAGGGTTTCTCATTCTGTCATGCTGACTGCAACCAAGCTGTAGTCAACTTAGTCAACAGTGCCACCCAGTGGGCATTATGAGTAATTATGTAAACCAGAACCACCGGCCTCCACAGCCAATTCTTTTCCTTACTCCTTAGCAGAACTGCGCATGAACTGTGTTCCTCCACCTATACATTTTCTCCAGTTCACAGCTCAGTTAATCCTACTCCATAAATTATTCCACAGAGCCATATAAGTTCTCCCTATCCCTTTTTACTTTTCTGTCCCAATTCTCTGAGGAACCTCCAAAGTCCTTGAAAGTGTCTGAAATTTCTTTTAAAAATCTACCAGACTCCATCTGTCTTGGCAATTGTTGTATTTTATATTATTTTATTCTTTCAAGTGAAATATTATGTTTTTAAAAGTATTAATGGGCTGGCCTAGGAACTTAACTGCCATTTACAGCCTTGTTTTCAAGGGTTTCAGAGTTCCAACAGTGAATTTAGGGAACTTAATCCGCTTCTAAATTGTTGGTTGTCTGCTTTAGAATTTAAACTGACCTTTTCAAATTGGAAAAGTAGGCAGGAACAAAGAGGAACTTGGAAAATAATAATGGCTCACATTTTTATAGCTATTTATGGTTTATAAAGTGGGTTTGTATCATCATTTGCCCTCTCAACAGCCCTATGAGGTCAGTAAGAGGTCTCCCCAAGCACAAATGAGCAAGCCAGGCTTACGCACTTTATAGAGCAAGACCTCACACACAAGTTTTCAGACTCAAATCCTATTGTTTTCTTCAGTACACCACATTTCCTCTGCGTGTTCACACATACACACTACAGACAACACACACAATTTTTTGAAGACAGTATTAATTACAACTTTCCCATAAAAGCCATGGAGAAAAGACACTCAGGCCAGGAAGTTGCAGGATTCTCTTTCCCAAGCTATTCCTCCTCTCTCTGCCTCTGCAAAGGCATTCCCAATGCCAGGATGTTCTAAGTCAAAGGAGTTCCCTAATCAAAACTGAAAACAGAAGACTTGGCCCATCTTGGGGAGGAAGGTTGCCTAGGAGGACAACTGGGCTTGGACTTCACATTATAGAAGGTCTTCACTTTAGACATTTGATATAGTCTGTAAATGAGTTGTACCCGCTTTCACAGAGATAACACTAATAGGATGAAAGAAGTTGACATTCTTCATACACACTTAAACTTAAATCCCACTTCTGGCCCAGCCACACTGGCCACAGCAGTATTTTTTCTATATGCTCCAATAATATTTGGAAAGAGCACACTTACATTGCACTAGCATACAAAAGTATGCTAAAAGCATTCACTTCCACACCGTTGTACCCCTCCGTTTTGGTATTTCTTCACCCGTTAATACACAAAGGATCTCAGAAGTTGGAAATATCCCAAGCTATGCCCACCTTTTAATCGTCTCTGTCCTTGTCTTTGGCGATCTTCCTTTCTGGAGATCTTTATTATTCCGCTCTTCTCTCACACTATTATTGACGGTGCACCAGCCTAGTGTCCTGTCCACTATCAGCACTAGAAAGTGCTCAAGCAAGACCTGTCGGGTAGAGACCATAAACCCAGAGTCAGGAAATGAGGGGCAGCTGCAGGGACAGGTTTTTATTCCCCTGGGGGTGGAGGGGCGGGGTACAAGTTCTAACAGTCTGGGCAGTCTGCAGATGGAATGGGATGGAAGGTGCGACAGTAAGCTCCCCCATCCGCAGCCTAGCGCTAGCAGAGCGCAAGACCGCGCGGGCCGGGCAGGGGTGGGCCGCTCCGGAGAGAGAGCGCGTGAACCTGGCAGTGGGTCCCCCGGCCACCGCGGGAGGGGCGTGGGGGCGTGCGCGAGGCAGGGCGTGGCGTGGGTGTGTGCGGGACCGGGGGACACCGGCCGGCCAGCCGCCCAGGGGGCGAGGCGTGCTCCGGGTCTATTCCGGGAGCGGCGTGGAGGGCGGGCGCGGGCGGGCGCGCGCGGGCGGGGGGGCGCCGGGCGGGCATCCTGTCTGGGGGAGGGGACGTGCGCGGAGGGCGCTCCCGCGGGGCCGGGCGGGAGAGCGCAGCGACGGCCGCCACCAGCCCTAACCGAGCCGCTGCGCCCTGCTCGGCGCGCCCGGGGACCGCCGCCGGCGCCATGGACCGAAGCCGGGGTAAGAGGAGCCGCGGAAGCCGCACTGGCTGCCGCGCGGGGCGGGGAGGGAGAACGGCAATCCAGGGGCCCGAGGGGAGGAGTAGGAGGTAGAGGGGTGGGGGGCTGAGGAGGGGTCGGAGCCGGCGCGGGGTCGGGGGTGGGAGGCCCGGGGCAGGGTAGACAGGTGCCTCCTTCCGCCGGGGCAGCACGGGTGTAGATAAGTCCCTCGCGTCCCGGGTCCGAGTGGCATCCTGTGTGTAAGATCAGTTTCACACACTCAGAGTCAACTTCATGAGAGAATGCCCCCACGGGATTCCTGAGGACAGCGACCTCCTCTCACCCCCATTCCCCTCTGGAAGGGTAAGATGGGGTTGGCAGGTACACTCCCAAAACCCCCCACCGTGCGCCCCCCCGCGAGACGCCCCTGGAGACCGGAGTTTGCGGCTGCCTAGGGCATTGAGAGGAGGGACAGGCGTGCGTGCCTCTGTGCTCGTGGATATCTGAGCCCGGGCTCTGCCTTTGCCAGGCTGTGTGACCTTCACCCAATCCTTCTACCTCTCTGGACTAGTGACAAAGTTGCATTGTGGTCTCTGCAAGGCCCCTTCTTGCTCCCACCCTTTTTCAGGAATTGAGTGTGTTTGATAAAAGTTTCAGAGATTGGAGAGGGCATGTGTATATTGACATGAGAAAAGATAGCAGCCCTTGAGGGGTGCCCTGCCTAAGAAAAGGCCTAGACACTTCAAAGGCATGTGTCTGCGAAGAAGTAGTGGCCTGCTTGGATATGGAGGCAGTGTCTAACTCTGGGGATCGGAACGCCAGGGTTCCAGCCACCCGCCTCTGCCAGGCTGAGCGATCACAGGTGGGAATGCGCTTGGTAAACTGGTCAAGGCTGTGCCGACATGAGAAGCATTATTATTCTTTTTGTTGTTATTATTAATGGAAAATTCCTCTACCTCCTTAATAATCTCACACCTTTCCTCCATCTGCTTGTTTGCTGTGCTGAGGCCCCCAAGGCGGGGAGTGGGGGACGGGAAGAGTGACCGGGGTGTGGAAGCGGTTAGGAGAGCACTGGGGTCGGGGGTGAGTGCGTGAGGTTTCCGGATAAGCTGGCCGGCACTCCCAGTACAGGACAGCCAGTCTAAAGGATTTCCCAGGGCTCTAGGAAGCCCCAGCTTCCAGTTCAAGATGCTGGGGAAAACCTTTCCACCCACCTGCTCTCAGCACAAAATACCGCCTACACCTCCTTTCATGCTTGGAAGGGCAGGCAGGAAATGGGCGGGGCCTCTGATTCGCGTTTTGGAGACCGAGATTGTGATCCCAAAAGCAGTGCTCACCTGTTAGCCGACACCTGGATAGGTTTACAGAGAGCATACACACTCACCAGGGAGGAAAAGTAGAGAGAAGAGGCACCTCTAATGTCCCTCAGCCCTCCCTTCCCACCTCCCACGTGGTACATCTAAACCAAAGAGCCCCCACCCCCACCCCGGAGATAAAGTTGTCACATATCACCCTGTCTGGTCCCCAGTACAAAAATCCATATCTAGTCCGCTCAGAATTGTGGGCGGACTGTGTCCTCCTTAGACTGATCAAGGATGACAATAATTCAGTTAGCTTTAAATGCTTAGTAACTGACACCTCACTTAAGAAGGCTGTCTCCAGAGCACTCCTGCTAGGAAGCTGGACTTCCTGGGGCTCTGTTAGTACTCAAAACGTTCTAGAACTCTCTCCCATGCTGCAGGCTCTCCCCACCTACTCTCCTTCTCCTTCGCAGCTCTTATCTCATTGTGCTGTTATTCTAAGAGTTAGTTCTCGCACTGTATGCTTTGTGCCTACCTTCCCTGCCCAGATGGAAGCTTCCCAGATGGAAGGCAGGGAATGGATCTCTCTTCCTGCTCCTGTAAGGACATCAGTCCTATCAGGCCCACCCCTTATGATCTCATTTTGCCTTAATTACCTCCCTAAAGGCCCTGTCTCCAAATACAGTCATATTGGAAGGTTGGGGCTTCAACATATGGATTTTGGTGGGGGAGGGGGGATACACTCCTGTCCAGAGCAGCAAGGTTGGGTCACTGACATGAACTTGCCCAGTCACTTGCTGTGTAAGGGACAGAGCTAGATTTGAACCAAAGTCCTGATCTTAAGCTTACTGCTGATTGCCTCCACGGTGGCAGGTGACCTGCCCATGCCCTGGAGCAAGGCTTGGATGCCACGTCTTCCTGCTCCAGCTCCAGGGGTCTCTTCCACACCTCACCTGTGCTGCTCAGATCTTCAGCAGTCATGACAACACAAAAGCTCAGCACTAAAGTCAACCGCCTTGAGAATGAAAACAAACCTGGGAATTAGGATTTCTCTACTAACACGATGTGTGTCTTTCCATGAATAGAGCAAGATTCGTAGGACACCAGAACAGAGAAACCGCTTATAATGAAATCTCTTCCAGTAGGAATTCCCAATTCATGAATATCATACAAAGAGAATCATAGACTGATGTCCATAGACACCTCCTTCCACAGGACAAATTAACCAACTCTCTGTCCTCATAGGAGGCTAAAAAAAAATATGTATATATGGATACTGATAATAGCTATTTCTTGGGGTTGTTGTAAATATTAAATGCATGGAAGATAATTTAACCAATGCCTAGCATGTTGGACCCACTCAATAAATGCTATTGTAATTACAGTCTTTTTTCATTAGACTCTGCATAATAAAATTTCTTTATAAAGCTTCATTTGGTCCTTCCACAAGCTAGTCTGACTCTGATGACAGATTTTTGAGTCCCTACTCTGTTTTAAGAACTGAGCTAGACAGTTTTGTGCACAACTCAAGGACAGGGCCTGTGTCATAATCTACTCTGTGCCCTGGAGCTCCTTTGTGCTGTTTATCTCTTGAAAATCCATCTCTGACCTTCAGTAATTGGACCATCCAACTGACATCTCTGAGTGACTGGTAAAATATTAATACACATGCCAATGTCTCCATTTTCCCTTATTTATCCTATTTATTCATGCCTACTGACTGGCTGTGTCTTTATATAAGTTTGCCTCTGCAAACTTCCCAGTCTTCTCAAGTCATTCTCTCTTTGAAGACTGTAGTCTAATATTTTCCTGATTTTGTCATATGCCTTCTTAATGTCCAAGGTGATGTCTGATTTGTCTGCCTCACAGAAGTCACTGATTTCCCCAAGGTTCCTTTCTTTTCCACTTCACAACTTGTTCTTCTTCAACAAGCTGAATTCAACCCAAGATGGGTATTTCTTTTGTAGTCTGTATTCTTTGGGAGAGCAGGTTGTCTTCTGGGCAACTCAAGAAATAATCTGAAACTCTGCCTTTCATTAAATGAAATTTTTATTGTTTGAGAGATGGTAGAAGAACCCATTCTAACTATTGTCCCGCTGTTGGACCAGCTTTGAGATCTATGTTAGGAAAGCCACATCTTCCTTATCCAGCTTTCATGGGCCAAGCAACCTGTAGCTACTCCTAGAATGAGCTCTCCACAGTGACTCAGCACCCAACTTCCACCACCAAGGCCATGAATTGCCATTCAGACATACCTCTTCCCTGACATGCAAGTTCATTGTCTACTCCTATCCATTACTGGCCTTCTGAAAGGAATACTCAACCATACTCATCTTTTCCATCCATATAGGTTTTGTGACATCCTCTTTGTCAGCCTGGAGACTCAGTAAAGCTGAAATGGTTCAGAGAATGGATAAATGTGGGTTTGAGATGTTTTGGTTTGTTAAGTAGGCTCCATGCCCAATGTGGGGCTTGAACTCATGACCTTGGGATCAAGAGTTGCATGCTCTACCAACTGAACAACCAGATGCCCCAAGGGTTTGAGTTTGGGCTGCAACTTTCTAGCTGTATGATCTTGTATGAGTTGGATAAATTAATTTCTCTGAACTTCAGTCTCATTTCATTTGCAGTGTCATAGGGAAGGGTAATACATGTAGGCTAGCTCTTAAACATTCAGGAGGGATAGCTATTATATTTATCAAATACAGTTGCTTGGATTTCAGCCACTCTTGGCAATGGGTGTACGTGGTCCCATGGGGCCATGAGATTTGAACTTACTCTCTTCCATGTAGAGGCTTCTGCTGTCATTGGGCACTGCTTCTATGACCTTATCCCACTCAGTCTCCATGGTGTTTGGCTTCTCCATTGTAGTCAAGGTTTTTTCTGCCTCTCCCTCAAATATCAGTTTCAAACCCCCCTTCTCACATGGGTGAGAACTCTGCCAAGTAAGTTCCTCCCTCCCTAACCTCTGCCAGAAGCCTATCATTACTCCATTCTGATCTTTGCTTGGGAAAAACAATCCTGTGTTTGGATACCATCCGCTTCTCATACTTCTCTTACCCTTCTAAAAAAAAACGTGCAACTGAACAAAAAATTAAAGTCCCTGCTCACGCGCGCGCATGCACACATGCCCTCTACCCCTAAGTGTTTTCCTCCTTCCTTTCTCGGCCAAACTTCTCAAGTATACAGTCAGCATGTCAGCCTCCAGCCCCGTCCCCCACGCCCTGTGCGCTGCCTGCATTCTCCCTTCCAATCACACCTTCTGCAGAAAGCCCGCTCTTCTGGGTCACAAATAGTTCCATGTTGTTTCATCTTTCCCCTCCTCTGAGTCCCATCCCCTGGACTTCTCTGTAGTGTTATTGACCCACTATGGACTCCTCTAAATGTATTCTGCTACTTGGTGGAGATGAAGAAAGCATGCATTTTGGAATCAAATAAGTCTCCATTAAATAACCACTGCTCCAACCCTCCTAGTGTCTCTTGCATCTCCTCCTGTCCCTCAATCCCACTGCTATCAGTGCTCACAGCCTCTGGACTTCTCCAGCCCTCAGGCAAGTTAACCAACTAAGCCTTGTCGCCTCAGTCTGCAAAGCTGGAAGAATGACACCCAGAACTGGGAAACTGGACCGTGATATCATTTGCACAGTGCCCAGCACCTGGCCCATGGCAGGTGCTCACGAATTGCTACTCTCCGTGCTGCCCTCTGGCTCACTTGCTTTTT